TCCGGCGCTCGTCACTAGCATCAGCCGATAGGCGATCAAGTAGCAGTATAGTAGGCTACTTTGTAATTCGAAGATTTTTAGCGATTGTAAATATAAAAAACAGTGGAGAAATAGAGAATTTTCGGGGGCTACGGAGTGACTCGAACGACGAGGAGATCGATCACATAGTGCTCGTTTATGCTTATATCGTTCGTGGGGTCGCCGTGTTCGTGGATCATTTCCTACGGAAGACTGTTACTATAGAAGAAGATACTTTTTAAGTATACCGATTCGGAAAACGAAGTACAAAACAGACACACCGAGATTTCGTTTCGCCTCTAGTGAAGTGATTCCGAAAGTTCGGGAGAAGTTTCGGACAGGAAGTAAGTACAATTATTGTAAATACCTTGAAGTATGATTACTATTACTACGCAGATTATTATATGGGGATATTGCGTTGATGCGAAGATTTGCTGTTCTAAGAGTGTGCCGTTCGATTGATTAATTTATTAAAAGTTATAATATTATGAATTAGCGGAGGAGTAATGGGAAACATATCGTATATTCTTTAGCTGTAAACAGACATCTGTTTCTTTCTTTTTTTTTTTTTTTTATAATACGTGTACATCTTGTAAGCTATTGATCGATTAACCCTTTCAGGATCGAATTTGTTTCAGAACTGTGGAACTATATTAATATTGCAACAGGTTTCAGACTATATTAATAATAGAGATACACTTTCTCTGATATTTTTATAAAGGATTAGAACACACTAAGACTAAAAATTCAGCCGCAATAATAAAACTAAAATTCAAACACAACGTCGTGGAAGGGTTAATGAAAATAATTGTATTTTTCTTAAGTAAAGAAAAAAAGAAAAAAAAAAGAAAAATGATGAAAAAAAAAGAAGAAAATAGACAATCTTTGTGTTGCGTTCAAATTCTCATCGATTGCATGATTTATTGTTGAACATTACTTTAGATGTTATTAAAAGAAAAAAAAAAAAAAAAACATGGTGTAAGTTTCACGAGTGACAAAATTGTATATTTATACGTACTTTGAGTCGCGTTAGTTACCAAGTTACACTTACAGAATAAAACTTGTACGAGTACATACAATAAATTAGGCATACGATAACACGATGGTTTATACTAACGTCTTTTATATTTTTTAATCGATATATTTCTTGTTAGATTTTTAGATCCTCTGATTCTTCGTTCCTCCATCGGATACGCCTGTAATACCATCCATATGTAAATAAATAAACGGTTTAATAATTTATTTAGTTACTCACATTCTTGGTAAATCCTTGATGTATTGAAATTCGTTGGAACGGCTGGTCGATTCATCCACTTTGCATCTCTCCCTCCAAACTTTCGTGGTATTTAACAGTGTTGAATAATTCCTCATTCCTACAAGCTCCATCTTTTTTATATTTACCGACTCGCATTTGCTTGGCTTTTTCGAACGTAGGATCAAAGTTTCTCTCCTCTTGGTGAATTCTTTGTCTTGTTCCCTGCGAATGTAATTTCCTTTCTTTACAATTTAACCCTTTGAATTTACTAATAAATTTCCGCGAAACTTTTTTACCTAAATGCTTTGATCAAAGTTGTATCGTATACACGTTTCTCTTTGGAACGTTCCTCCATCTCTTTTAAAACATTTTCCAAGCACTTCTTCCTTTTATATTCGTCCAAAGCTACCTGGATCTTCTCCCTGCGTTTCTTTCTCCTATTTTCCTCCACCTCTTTCCTCAACTTCATCTGCATTTTCATCTGTTCTTCGTCCATGAATCGCTTATTTTCTTTTTCCATTCTCCACTTCTTGATCAGTTCTTTCTTCTGACTTTCATTGGAACTGGCGCTGCTGCCTTCCCTCGTGGACGATTTTATTTTCTTAAAAGTACCAATTGTTTTCTCTTCGGGAAGATCTTCATCTACATGAAGATCCTGAATATCTTTGTCCATTTCGCCGATATTTTCTTTCCTCTCCAAGGCCTTTCTCTGACGCCACTCTTTCACCGCTGTTTTTTGTTTCTCGCGCAAATCTGTGTACTGCTTGTACCACGCTTCGTGATTCACTATAGTTTCAACGGACAGATCCGGACACTTTTGCTGGATAGCTGCAACCAGAGTCGGAACATTCTCGCATTTCTTCCGCATTTTTAAGAAGAACAGGTGATCCTCCATGGTCCAATTTTCCGTGTGTCCTGTGTATCACGCATTTAAAGAAATTTAAGACATTGTTTCGTCAGCTCGTTCACTTTAAGTCCTTCAGTTCAGCTCGCCCGACTCGATTTCAGATTTAATGAACAATCCCACCTGTTACCGCGACCAGAGCGTGAAAATCGTCCACGTCTTTGTATTCCGATTTCTTTTGTTTGTTCTCCACTTTACTTTTACACGATAACGACAGAAGTGTCGCGTTTCTCTGCGCTTTCTCATATTTGTCTAAATCGAAGTCAAGTTCGTGCAACTCGGAACTCAATGTATTTCCCTCCTCCGTTAATGCCCGACTCGGACAAGATTTCTCGAATGCTTGCATTTTCTGCGAAAGTTTGATCAATTTCGACTTGTACGTATTTACATCTGAAAGAGAGAGAAGTACGGGTAGAAATGTCTGAGATTATAAAATTGTAAAGAACAACAGTAAATATCGATAATGTCACCTAGCTTTTGTAAAGCTTCCGGATTGTTCGCAATGTGTTTCGCAGAATCCAATTCGGAAGCGATGTCCTCCATATTTCTGTGCATCGCGTCTAAAAAGTTTTGCCTGCCGATTAACAATAATAATTAACAACTCAGTCAAACTAGTCTTTAATCGTGAAAATTCTAGATGCTCAAGTAAGTCGATACGGCGAATATTTAAATTTACCTCTTCAAAGACAGTTCCCTGTGTTGATTCATAATATCGTTGGCCAAATTCGAGTCTATTTTCATGTTCTCGATAGCGGTGATAAGGCCTTTTTCAAGAATGCCTTCTTGTTGCTTTAACCTTAACAGCGGTTTCATATATAGATCTTTTTGAGCGGAGGTCAATCTCTTCCTCGACGTATCGCTCTTTATTTTAACACTGTCACCGCTATTTGCGCTCATCGGCCTAATTAATTATTCGCAAATGGACGTTAATTGTGCCGAGAAATTGCTCTCCAGCAACCCCTTTGAGTTTGACGTTCAACGTCAAAGTACACGAAGCTAAGTTCGTTCAATTTCCACCGATGGATGGATTGTGGTACTTTATGGGTTTCCATAGCGATTCCCCATAAAGCAGACCGCATACGTTCGATGCACCTGTCGTTCGAGTGAAAAAGTCGACCCTGTCGCGAAACCTATCGTAGCCTCGATAATTGTGTTTTCACGTTGGCTATTTTCTTAATTGAGATGCTAGCTGCGTAGGGAATAAGTAAACTGCACAAGTTTCTCTTTCTTTTTTTCATTGGTACATCGTATTGTACGCTTGAGAAAAAAGAAGGTATATAATATCTTTTATTATATTTTTGATAATTATTATCGAATTATTACGATAATAAATATCCGGATATTAATACGATAAAGTAAATATCTGGATATCATGCAGATATGAAGAGTAAAATTTTGGAATTCCTTTTCGCAGTTACAGTGAAAATTTGCCGGGAAGTAATCTCAAGTAAAACGATATATTAACGCCATCGTTGATTAAGGCTAGTCAACGATGCAATGGTTGATGCTCAAAGGGTTAAAATTATCATTTAATTATCGTCTATAAAGAAATCTACCATATCTATTTTCCCACTGTCGATAAAAACAGTCTCGCCACCGACAAGGTACATGTCGTCTGTGGTGATGCCTACTTTATCCCAAGATCGGTAATATCACTCACTCCCTGCGTTTCTTACCTGCTTCTTCTCCCACTCTTCCACCATTTCTCCCACCAAAGAACAGCCTATGCGATGGCGTCACCTGGCGGAGGATCCAAGAGACGCTATTCCCTTTCAGGCACTCGCCGAACCAACGACTACATTCACGTTGCGGCGAGGCATTTATACGGGTGGATAGTAACTAGGCGCTTTAGTCTCTGGTTGGGACGCGACGCGTGAGTATGGGGTATGAGAGCACCCCCGAACGTGTGAACGGTATCATCGTGCATTGAAAACAAAAGTCATCGGGACGCGGCAGCGTATCAAAGGAATCGTATGATAGAGAAACTCGTGGAAGCATACGGCGTGTCCTAGTAATTATCGAACTATCGATAGCCCAGTGTCTGCATCGAAGTGAGAGAATCCGCCAGTCCGCGAATGTCCGGCGAATCGATCGTTTAACAGTGTAACACGCGACAAGCCCGGGACGAGATTCGTCGGCTTGATGAGAACTGGCGGTCTCGCGGCCCGATAGATCGTGACGATATCGAGATTGAATCGTTCGTCGATGCGACACACGCCGTCGTGTGTGCCTGTCAGGGATACGTGAGGAAGGTCGCCTTTTTCTGTGAACACAGCTGATAGGTGAGTGAGAAACTATCAAGTGTTTATTGATTTATTCGGCTAGTATTGCGCCGTAGCGCGTTATTCCGCCGTTTTTGTTTATTCCATCGTCGCTGTTCCGGAAGGCAATTCGTGACGCGACTCGTTCAATCTGAATCGACTGCGATCGTCAAATTGACGGTTTTTCCAAGGGTTGCCAACTTCAAAGGCAAGGGCTTGAAGTTGAACGAAAGTTCGAATTTGTTATTTGTTAGACAAATTGTTATCCGACGCATTGTTGGAAATAATGTTCAAGAAGTTATTAGAACGACCGTTAGACTTTGACTCCGTTTCTGTTAGTTTGAAATTTCAAAATGGCGGTGTGTTGTTAAACATGCGTACGTGTGTGTACCTAGCTTTTACTAATAAATATATCGAAGGAAGCCGTATTTGATGTTGTGAGTACCTTTGTGAGAAGCGATTATTATGTAAAAGCCTAACCTAAACCTTCCTACTTAAATTCGTCGAATGATCTACTGAATACTGGAGGAGGCAGCGTTTAACCCCATTTGCATCACGAAGCGAAATATTTCAAATTATATTCGCGAGCAGATACGTATTAAAAGTCTTACGTTTATTAATATACGGAAGGCTCGGAAGTCAGTTAATTGCTTGTATCGCGCAAATGTTCTTTTCGTTATTAAAAATATCAATTAATAGGATAGTTTAATTTTAACAGCATTTGTTATTTAAATAATATTATTTAATAACATATATCATTTATACATATATTTTATATAATATTGTATTCTCATTGTATATTTAGTTATTTAAATAATATTTTTAGCTATTCCAATAATTATTTTACAGCGACTGTATAATATGTAGTAATAATGTATTGTGTATAATGTTTTGTCAAAAAAAAAAAAAAAAAAAAAAAAAGAGAAGAATGTTTTCATAACACAAATTTTGTTCTTGAACTTACGCTGATTATTATATATCTTAAAACGTGTAAGTATCTTCATTTTAAACTGCAAATTCATTGTTCAGTCTGATACTTAATTGTTCAAGCTCGTTTTACAAAAAAAAAGAAAAAAAAAAATTCACGATCTCGTTCACAATTCTTTTTTTTTTTTCTCTATGTTACTTCTGAAAAGCAAAAAAAAAAAAAAAA